TGCCTGGCTTCTACTTTGTATCCCGGAATTATCTTTCATCTTTTTATTATACACCACTTTAGTTGCTGTTTTTCAACATGGGCAATGGTGAACAACCTATTCAAACACAGTTGATGAAGAAAGTACTCAAGGACTTTTGCATTTCCCCAATTCTGATTTTAATCAATAAGTGGTTTCATGCAAAGGGTCTCTCCTGATTGTTCATTGCATTTTCTTTCTTTTCAATTGAGTAATACACTGCTGCCTTGCTACACTTGTCAGTCCCCATACAAAGTTGGAATCCAAAAGGACAGGTCTTTGAGGGCTTAATATGCCCAACCAAACATCTCTCTGTTCCACAGCTCCAAGCCCAGCAAAGTTTACATTTGCGGGATACAAAGTAGAAGCCGGGCATGTGCCCGGCTTTGTGCATGGAATTATTTTGGCAGTAAATTTTGATTTTCTGGGCAAAAGTCCGGGCCCAGAATTCAAATTTACTGCCAAAAAAAATCTGGGCACAAAGCCGGGGAGCGTAGCCGTATCAGTCCCCGGATGAGACGAGAGACAACAGTGAGACTACGGTGAGACTACAAGACCGAAACCCTATTTACATGTGCTTTTACATGTAAATAGGGTTTGGCCAAAGATTTAGGAGAGCGAGCAGGAGTGAGCCTTGTGTTTATCATAAATACGCCCATGATCATCAAGGCAAAAGAAATCAAGATACAACTTCAAGTCCAACAAAAACAACTAAAGCACGTCCAAGACATTCAATCGATCGATCTAACAACAAATCATTAGCTTAAAGTGTGTATGATCAATCCCAATATAGAATCCTCTTTTTTGTCTTTTCTTCATTTGAAGAATCAATACTGATTTGATTTCTTATTTTCTTTGATTAGGACTGGTTCAGATTCAAGAATATATATCTATTGTTTAGAAAAACCTACATCTTCTTCATCCCTTTATAAAATCAAAGTAAAGATTATCAAAATAATAGTGATGAACTCACTCAATTGATCTTATTAAATTCAGTATTCAGTTCATCATCATTCTAAATTGAACGATCAACTTTCTTGACTAATCAATGGGTTTTGTTTTACATTTAGGCACCTTGTAGAAGAGTTACTTGTCATCCAGAACAACTTGAACGTTTCTTATCTGCTAGTGAAGATGGTACAGTGATCAAATGTGATTTAAGATCAACGATGTATTCTCAAGGTCCAGTTTTACTTCAAGATTAACTCGAGTATAGTGATACACTTTGGGAATCCAGTTAAGTTAACATATTTTGACTTCAAATCTTTATCAAAGAAAATCATTGAGACTGATTTTAATTGATCGATGATTTTTCCCTTTAGATTTCTTCTCATCTTTTTGATACTAGTACAGATAATGTTAGGATCAGATCTGACCAAGAACCTTTCCACATCAATTACAACAGTCAAGTTTTATTGGTTTTATTTTGATCCATTCAAACATGTCATTCATCAAATCACTGATTGAGATCCTTGCTTTATCAAAATTGATTTGTTTGTAGTATTCATCACTCTTGCTGTTCTTCCGCAGTCATCAACGCGAGTCAAATCAACTTTGCTTTACCCCAAGCAAAAGCATAGAGTGGGACTGTTACTGTGCGGCCTGAGTTAAAAAAATATGACAACAGGCCCCTTTGACAGCGTCTATGCTTTTATGTGTGATTGAGCAATTGTTTGATGTGATGATAATTTTCTTTTGCTTTTGAATGTATCACTTACTACATGATTAATCCAAATTCAACATAAATTAGGTTGATCAGATTCAATACAAATATCAAAAACATCTTTGAGTCATCAACCACGAGCTAAATGTATGTTCATATTCTTGTATTAATTGTGACCAAGTAGAAAGGGGGTTGCGCGTCTCTTGTGGTACGAAATGGTTTCCTATCTATGAACCACAAACATATCAACATGATCAGGATATAGCTTTATCTCTTCTTGAGAGGAAAAGAGCGCCAAAGTCTAACTCATATCTAACAACATGCTTGATATGAAACAATTCTTGTGAATTCAAAGTCATTGAATGTGTTTGAGCATTGAAATGATGTGACAAAACATCTGACATAAAAAAGAAAAAGAAACACCAGCTATTGGACATTTGTCACAATTATACTTCCGTTTTTACCTAAATCATTGAAACACCTCTATCAGCATGATCACTCACGACAATTGCAAATCAGAGGATGAACTGGACCTTCACATTTTCCTAATTGTGTCTGTTCGTCTCCGTGTCTCATCATCAAAGAAATCATCACAGATCACAATGTGGAAATTAACTCAAGATTTTCCAATTCTTCAGGAGAAGCTCCCCTTCCCTAGAGACGGAGTTCTTGCAGGCTTTGGGTGTCCGATATGTTACAAAACTTGCAGAACCAAAAATCCGTGTGTATATCGTAAAAGTGATTATACGCACCTCATTGGCCTCACAGTGAGTGTTTGTTGTTTTCTTTGCTTTGTTTTTCAAGTATCTGACTTTCTATCATCAACAATGCTCTATTCAAACTAGTGTCGGGCTTTTGACCACTATTTCCGGACTCCAAAAATCAAAGATGTCATTGAAGAGGTGTCCAAGCATAACCAACAAGCACAACACCCCTCTCAATTTGGACATCTACCCATTTCTGAGCCGTCTTCTGTGACAGAAAGCACCTCAAAGGCAACAAAATCCGATTTGGAATGTCACGGTATCAATGGTAGATTTGCTTCTGGACATCGGAAGCAATGTCTAAAACGATGTCCAAACAAGATGTGTCAACAGGTACGTGTATTGTATTTCTCACTTATGCCCAGGTGGATCTGATTTCAGTTGCTGATATTCAACTTGAGTGCTGTCGATCCTCAGACATAACCTGTTCTGATCATCGCTATGTGAAAGATACACCCTCGACTTCAGCGGCACCTGTTGAGAGACAATCCCAATCAAGAGCTGAGGACCCATTTAATAGTGCACTGCAACAGGGCTCTAACCGCGTCAATCCTCAAGCTGACCGCCAAGCAATCAAAGATCTACCACGTGAAGCCATAGCTCATCACAATAACGCTCGCCTGCGTACCCAGGCGGCTAAGGACAGGGGAGATGACCTCGAGTTGACACTGTGTGTTTGGCTTCAGGTGATTTATTTTGATTTTATTGATCTTGTTGGTTCCCTGTTCAACCCGACTATGCGTTCTTGATCACTTTAGGCCGGCGAAGCTACGGAAATACTTGCTACAGCCTCAAATTTCCCTCGATATGCATTGAATGAGAGTAGATCTCTGGGGCGATTGGCAGAAAAAATATTAGGTCCTTCTTGGGATCTTGAACTGGAGGTACTGGCACCTGGATCTTCCAAATGGGTTAATTGATTCACATTTCTGATCTCTTATGACAAAACTCGGGACTGATTGGTAACCCTCTCTAGAAACTCATCGATGCTCATCAACCCGTACCACCACCATCGGACACCAAGAAGTTGTTGATACGAGCATTTGGACTTCCGCCTGAAAGCTGTGTTGGTATTGATGACTCAATCACATCTTTAAAGAGCAAAATTCTGCCAACTACTGTTGATATCCATGATCTTCTCCAACCTACCGCGCCCAAGGGGATTTGGGCTACATCTCGGGTCACCACTGATGATATGCAAGCTACATCTAGTAATGATATTGAGTTGGAATCAGGCTCAGAGATCGAGTTTGTTGGCACATCAAAAAGAAAGAATCCAGCGGGAGCAGACAAAGACATAGAAAGCTCACCTTTAGCCAAGAAGAAACCTCGAAAACTCTTACCATTCCCCGGATTGACTTGTAAGCTATCGGAGTTGATGGTTTGGTGTTCGAAGGCACCAGGAGGCTCTGGCTCTGCAAAAGGGGTAGCTAAAGAAACATGGTATGAGCTGTTTGGTGATCGATATGAACCTGATTTTGGATTAAAGACACCCTATTGATATCGTACTTGGGCATTGGACAGACAGGATGTATTTCAAGAATGGATGAAAGGAAAAGAAGATGTTACTGTAGAACAAGCACATCGTGCTTTTCCTCCTAATAAGAAAACCAACGTGATTTCACTTGAATAGATCATTTGATCCAATGTTCTCTTCTGGTCTCATCTCCAATCAAATGTTTTCCTCAAGATATGCACACTCTTGTCTGTTTCCTGAACCTTTTCATTCTAAAAAAGTGTCTTTTCTTTCCTGTCAAGAATGATTAGTATGACTGAGACTCAACAAATGTTCATCTTAATCATCATATGTTTGTTGTTTTTCTCCTTTCGAATCTGTCTTCTTTATGTTTCAAGCAAATGAATTTTGAAAAAGAAGCTATTTGAACTATTTCAAAACCAAATTTTTAGGAATTCAAGAATAAAACAAAAAGTCAACCATCCAACAGAAATAGAAAAGATCAAAAAGAAAATCAACTAGAACAAGAAACAAAGAAACAAAAGATTTGATTTGTTAAATCTTGTTCATAAATACAAACTCAAATCACCCAATGCTTACATTTTGAGCAAAAGCAGGTGATAAAATTTATTTTTATCAGAATCAGATGTGTCTTTTCATCAAAAGCAAGTGTACTTTCAAATGCTTTTGTTGCTTTTTGTGATACATTATTTGCTGAGATCTGACAACTGATCAGACCCAAAAGATATAAAGACTGGCATGGTGAAGGATGTTCAGTTTCATCCCACATCTCATTCACAAGCCAATCTCAAACAAAATCAAAGATATTATTTCTCATATTGGTTACCGCCAGTTGACTTTTGTTGGACGGCAGTGAGCCAACATCAATAAAACAACTGTGTTTCAATATTACCTCTTGGTCATGTATATACAAGAATGATCAAAATACCCAGCCTTTGGTGATGAAATCGACATCCTTTTGAGCCTTGATCTTTTCCAAAAGCCACACATTTCTCAATCTGACCATTTCCTCTAGAAAAAAATTGTAGCGGTCTGCGTGCATCCCCCTGCATATTGAAGAAAATTTTCCATACCATATGTTGGTAAGCTCTGCTGCTGAAGAGTTGAAAATCCATTTGTCACCATTTTTCAGATCGGGAATTTTCCTTGGGTTGGTGAAATTTTGACAGAACTTGTCAGACTCCTTGTGAGAACACATGTGAAAGGCATCAACTGCAACAACTGTGTTCTTGAATAATTTTGTATCCTCTGGACTGTTCCAAACATGCCGCATCAAATTACAAGCATTGTCATAGAAGACCACGCCTGGGAGGACATCAGGAAATGAATCTAGAATAAATTGCTAAAAGAAAGAGAGTTTAGCTTTTCTCAAAAAATGAAAGCAAGCCAATTGAATCTCACTTTAACTGCACTAACTGCTTCTGCGCAAAAAAATGTTGTTCTTGCCAAAATGATACCACAGCAGCCCACAATTAGCTGATCATTGTGAGTACGACGCCTTGAGCATGGCTTGGTGCTTATTTGATTGATACCTTCACCACCGTCTCTTCCAGCCTCATGTGCGCGATCAGATTCATCGGCATCTTGAATAATCTCAAGGTCTTCCAATTCAGCAGTCCACACATTTTGATTGACTGAAGGATCCGCGGGTAATTTACAACCAGTTCGGGTCATCTTCTCTGCAAGAGTGTATGGTTTGTTTTTATTACGAGTAAAGGCTTCTCCAATTTTGATGTGCTCGAGTTTGCCACATGTTATTGAATCTGAAAGACATCTTGAGACACATGGTTGAACTTGACATTGGTTCTTGAGGGACGATTGGTGTTTATGACAGAATCGATCGTGAACACTAGTCAATCTATTGACACAAGGATATTGCTCGCCAAGGGACTCCAATTGTTCACGCGAAGCACTACAACAGAAGTGCCCTATTGTCACCCCATCTGTCACCACAGCATGAATACCTACGATTATGGACAATTTATGACTGATCAGAGATGTTTTGTGTACATGAGATAACTTTAAAGTCACACATACCTTTTTCCTTTCCATCATCATCAGCAGAAATGTAAACACACTTGTCACATGCATGATTTCGATATTCAGTACCAGACATAGCCCAATATTTCACCTGATCAGACATAGCATCTAAATATCGCCGGGATGATACTTCAGAACTTGGCACCTCTAGAACTTTATTTCGGGCGTCGTAATGATATAAAAGACAATGGATATCTAGGCCATCTCTACAAACAGTCTCAGACATGGAGGCCCCAAATGATTGATGCCCACTGAACTTTTGTGCTTGAGAACACTTGTGTGTCTGATTGTAATGATTGACTAGGTTGAATATTGAAACACTACACATTGTGTGTCAGAAAACTGTTCAACTGATATTTTGAAGACATGAAAAGCACTTACTGAGATAGCATTTGTAAAAAAGACATCGATTCCGCGAGTTTTCTACTCATGAAGTAATGTTGTTGAACTTGAAATATATCCTGATTTCGCTTTTGTTGAGATGTGTAAAAGTATCTCTTTTTGCCATAAGAATAATATGATGGTCGATATGCAATATTACAACCTGAGATCCATCAAGTCTTGTGAGCCTCAAACTTGCTGAAGGAATCATTACAGCACTTACCCGCACAATACATTGAGACACTCTTGATTGGATGTACTCCATCAAGATCGTATAGATAGCCATTGATCATCTTTTGTTTTTTGAAAGGTAATCGGTGGTTGCAGACAAAACAACTTCCCACTGGCGGAAACACAAATCGAGTAGGTATTTGTTCGGAATATCACTGTAAACATCATTCAACTTCCCCAATTTGGCAGAGGAAAATGATTAATAGTACAGTTTTTCATAAAAGAATCTAATACTGCACACCTGGGCCATTTCACCCACACTACATATGTGCAGCAAGCTAAGTCAATAGTTGTCTATCATGTACATACAGGTCTGCTCAGTTTTTTGCCCATCAGAATAAATAAATCACATGTTATACCACATGTAACTTTTTCGACTTTGAAATTTTTTTCCCAAAAATTCACTACATATAATTCTGTAGCTGCTCAGGCAATATTGTTGAAGCTATGTCTTAGTAACAGAAAGTGTGTTACATGCAGTTGAGTTGATGAGATCACACCAAAACATTGAGTCAGTGTATGTAGTCAATCTTTTGGAAGCTTTTTTCAATCTGAAAGAAGTTACAGCATGTATTACATATGAATAACTTGTCCTGATGAGCAGATAACTGAGCAGAACTGTATGTACATGATAACCACATATTCACTGAGCCTGCTACACATATGTAGTGTGGTGTTATGC